GGATAAGAAAGCATGACTCATCTATATGTTGTTTGCAAGAGACCCACCTCTCAACAAAAGACTCACATAGGTTGAAAGTGAAGAGATGGAAAAAAATTTTCCAAGCAAATGGAAAGCAAAAAAAAGCTGGGGTAGCAATTCTCATATCGGATAAAATAGATTTCAAAATGAAGACCATAACTAGAGACAAAGATGGCTACTACATAATATTGAAAGGATCTATCCAACAGGAAGATATAACCTTGATAAACATATATGCACCCAATATAGAAGCACCAAAATATATTAAAATTCTTCTGGAGGACTTCCAAGGAGAAATCGACAACAATACAATCATAGCAGGGGACTTCAACACCCCGTTGACAGCACTGGATAGATCCTCTAGGCAAAAAATTAGCAGGGAAACAGAGACTCTAAATGAAGCACTAGACCAAATGGACTTAATAGATATCTACAGAGAATTACACCCCAAAACTACAGAATACACATTCTTCTAAAGTGCACATGGGACATTCTCAAAGACAGACCACATGATAGGACACAAACTAAATCTCTACAAGTTCAAGAATATTGAAATCATATCAAGCATCTTCTCAGATCACAATGGCATGAAACTAGAAATCAATTGCAACAAGAACATGCCAAGACATTTCAACACATGGAGGCTAAATAGCATGTTATTAAACAATGAATGGGTCACCGAGGAGATCAAGGAAGAAATTAAAAACTTCCTGGAAACCAATGAAAATGAACACACAACAACACAAAATCTATGGGATGCAGCGAAAGCAGTTCTGAGAGGGAAGTTCATAGCACTACAGGCCTACCTCAAAAAACAAGAAAAATTTCTAATTGACTGTCTAACCTCACAACTTAAAGAATTAGAAAGCAAACAAAAAGAAAACCCCAGAGCAAGTAGAAGGAAGGAAATAGTAAAGATCAAAGCAGAAATAAATGACATAGAGACCAAAAAAACAATTCAAAGGATCAATGAAACAAAGAGCTGGTTTTTCGAAAAGATAAACAAGATTGATGGACCCTTAGCTAGACTCACCAAGAAACAAAGAGAGAAAACCCAAATACACAAAATCAGAAATGAGAGAGGAGAAGTAACAACCAACACCACGGAAATACAAAAGATCGTTAACAACTACTACGAACAACTATATGGCAACAAATTCGACAATCTAAGCGAAATGGACAAATTTCTAGAAACACACAGTCTCCCAAAACTATTCCCGGAAGAGATAGAAAACTTGAACAGACCAATAACAACTAAGGAAATTGAAGAGGTAATCAAGACTCTCCCAGCAAACAAAAGCCCAGGCCCAGATGGTTTCACAGGGGAGTTTTACCAAACATTCAAAAAAGAACTAACACCCATTCTCCTCAAACTATTTCAAAAAATTCAAGAAGAAGGAAGACTTCCAAACACGTTCTATGAGGCCAGCATAATTCTAATTCCAAAACCAGAAAAAGACACTACGAAGAAAGAAAACTACAGGCCAATATCCCTGATGAACATAGACGCCAAAATCCTAAACAAAATATTAGCAAATCGGATCCAGAAATACATCAAAAAAATTATTCACCATGACCAAGTGGGATTCATTCCAGGGATGCAAGGCTGGTACAATATTCGCAAATCAATAAACGTGATACATCACATAAACAAGATGAAGAATAAAAACCACATGATCATATCAATAGATGCTGAAAAAGCATTCGACAAAATCCAGCATCCATTTCTGATAAAAACGCTCAGCAATGTAGGAATAGAGGGATCATATCTCGACATAATAAAGGCCATATATGAAAGACCTACAGCCAACATCATACTCAATGGACAGACACTAAAAACATTTCCATTAAGAACAGGAACAAGACAGGGATGTCCACTTTCGCCACTCTTATTTAACATTGTACTGGAAGTCTTAGCCCAGCAATCAGACATGAAGAAAAAATAAAAGGGCTCCAAATTGGAAAGGAGGAAGTGAAACTGTCATTATTTGCAGATGACATGATATCATACATAGAAAACCCTAAAGACTCCATCAAAAATCTATTAGACTTAATAAATGAATTTGGAAAAGTAGCAGGATACAAAATTAACGTCAAGAAATCGACGGCATTCTTGTACACCAATGATGAACTCACAGAAAGAGAAACTGAAAAAACAATCCCATTTACCATCGCTCCAAAAAAATTACGATACCTAGGAATAAACTTAACCAAAGAAGTAAAGCACCTATTTGCAGAAAACTACAGGTCATTGAAAAAAGAAATAGAGGAAGATATAAAAAAGTGGAAGCACATACCCTGTTCATGGATTGGAAGAATTAACATAATTAAAATGTCCATACTACCCAAAGCAATCTATAGATTCAATGCAATCCCCATCAAAATACCAACGACATATTTCATAGAACTAGAACAAATACTTCAAAAGTTCATATGGAACCAAAAAAGACCCCGAATAGCCACAGCAATCTTGAAAAAGAAGAACAAAGTAGGTGGGATCACAATACCAGATATCAGGTTATACTACAAAGCGACTGTAACCAAAACAGCCTGGTACTGGCACAAGAACAAGCATATAGACCAGTGGAACAGAACTGAAAACCCAGAAATGGACCCAAGGCAATACGCTCAATTAATATTTGACAAAGGTGGCAAGAGCATACAGTGGAGTAAAGACAGCCTCTTTAATAAATGGTGTTGGGAAAATTGGACAGCTACATGCAAAAAAATGAAACTAGACCATCAACTTACACCATACACAAGAATAAACTCAAAATGGATAAAAGACTTAAATGTGACCCGTGAATCCATAAAAATTCTAGAGGAAAATGTAGGCAACAAAATTTCGGACATCATACGGAGCAGAATTTTCACTGATACATCACCTAAGGCAACAGAAATAAAGGAGAAAATGAACACATGGGACTACATCAAACTAAAAAGCTTCTGCACAGCAAAAGAAACAATCATCAAAATGGAAAGGCAACCCACTGTATGGGAGAACATCATTGCCAATGATGTATCAGATAAGGGGTTAATTTCCAATATATATAGAGTGCTCATACAACTCCACAAAAGGAAGACAAAGAACCCAATTAAAAAATGGGCAGAGGAGCTGAATAGACACCTCTCCAAACAGGACATACAAATGGCCAAGAGACATATGAAGAAATGCTCAACATCAATAATCATCAGAGAGATGCAAATTAAAAGAACAATGAGGTATCACCTCACACCTGTCAGAATGGCCGCCATCAACAAATCATCAAACAACAATGTTGGCGAGGGTGTGGAGAAAAGGGGACTCTAATACACTGCTGGTGGGAATGCAGACTGGTACAGCCGCTATGGAAAACAATATGGTGCTACCTCAAAAAATTAAAAATTGAACTTCTATTTGACCCAGTGATCCCACTGCTGGGAATATACCCTAAGAAGCCTGAAACACCAATCAGGAAGAATATATGTACCCCCATGTTCATAGCAGCACTATTTACAATAGCTAAGATCTAGAAACAGCCTAAGTGTCCACCAGTTGACGAATGGATAAAAAAGCTGTGGTACATATACACAATGGAGTACTATGCAGCAGTAAGAAAGAAAGATCTCTTATCCTTTGAGACGACATGGAGGGACCTGGAAAGTATTATCCTAAGTGAAAGAAACCAAGCAGAAAAAGACAAATACCTCATGATCTCACTTATATACGGAATATAATGAACATAATAGTCTGAGGAATACAGTAGACCCAGAAACATGGAAGTAGGGCACAGACTGACATCCCTCAGAAGAGGGGATGGGGGTGGGGGGGTGGGAAGAGATAAACCACAGAACTTATATGCATGTATGCATGACCAATGGACATGGACAACTAAGCTGGGGACAGGGTGGAGGGGGGGTGGGGTGGGGGGTGCCAATGGGGTAAAAAGATAAAATATCTGTAACAAAAAAATAAATAAAAATTCATAAAAAATAAAAATAAAAAAAAATTTTCTAAGAGAAATAATCTAGGACAAGTGACTAAAGTGACAGTCCAACTCTTAAACATATTGTTCTTCCTTCATGAAATTCACTATTAATATTTTTGCTGTTGACAGTAGTAATCAATATATACATATGTAAACTTTTGCACTGGGCTCACTCACATGGTTAAGAATCTTGCCCCACATGGATGGACCGAGAACGTAGTATGCTAAGTGAAATAAGGCAGTCAGAGAAAGACAAATACCAATGATGTCCACTGTACGTGAAATCTAAAGAACAGAATAAACAAATAAAACTGAAACTGATTCACAGACACAAAGACCAGACTGATGGTAGCCAGAGGGAAGGGGTGTTGAGAGATTGGGTGAAAAAGGTGAAGGAAATAAGAAGTACAAATTGTAGTCACAAAACAGTCACAAGAATGTAGAGTATAGCAGAGGGAATGTAGTCAATAATATTGTAATAACTACGTATGGTGTCAGTGGGTACTAGACTTAAGGAGGTGATTCCTTCATAAGTAATATAGAAGTCTAACCCACTATGCTATGCACCTGAAACTAATATAATATTGAATGTTAACTATAATTGAAAAAATTGTTTAATAAATAAATAAATAAATAAAATTAGAAAAGGAAAAAAAAGAAGCTATTGCCCCATCACTCAAGTTTGACCTAATGACAATATAGTTATCCAAGAACATTAATCAGTCTGTACACTTTCTCACCATTGATGAATCACCTGATGTTAGTCCATTATCATTCTTCTCACAGGATATCATCATTTTTTCTTTCTCTAGCTAATTCTATTTTCATATCCCCCTTCTCCTCACATGGAATAAGCCAAGAAATCCATTAAGTTCTACCTCACTGTGGACCTGAACCATTAAGCCACAACTTAGACAAAAAAAATCTAGACACTGCTACCATTAATGAATTCAGGATGATGGTAATTACTGACTATTTAAGCCCCAAAGACAAAGGCATTTGAGTACTTACCATCGCCAAAAAGATGTGTCATAAGCCTTGTAAGTGTTTGCTTAAGGTCAAATTCTACGAGCTTCACGGCCTCCATGGTATGTGTCTCTTGTTTATGGGCAGACCGAGAACTCTGTTCAAAGAGCTGCAGGCTTTCTCCATCCTTTACACCAGCAAATAACTGTAAACCAAGAGGAATAATACAAGTAAATAAAAATAGCATCCTGGCCAGTCTATATAAAAAAAGATAATATGAAAATAAAATCTATTGTCTTTCAGCCAATGAACACACTGAAATTAATTCATTTAGTATAGACTTTGAACAAAAGCGCTAAGTGTTTAGGGAATTAAAAGACACTCTTCTGTCTGGCAGGTGTGGCTCATTGGTTGAACATCGACCCATGCACCAAGAGGTTGCCGGTTCAATTCTTGGTCAAAGCACATGCCCAGATTGTGGGCCAAATCCCCAGTGGGGGGCATGCAGGAGGCAGTCAATGGATATTCTCTCTCATCGATGTTTCTATCTCTCTCTCCCTCTCCCTCTCCCTTTCTCTCTCTTTCTCTGAAATCAATAAAGAAAAAAAAAATTTTTTAAGACACTGTTCTGATCTTCACTGATCTCTTATTTTACTTTTGTGTTAACATACAGTTATTTCCTTACAAAAGACACTATCCTCAATGCTAGTGGAAATACCAGTGAATCAGGCTTTAAGACTCTAAAATTATATTCCTGACTATCCCACAGTATCCTTAGAGTGTGTCCTGAGACTAGATAGAAAGCAGTCTAGCAATTAAATCCTGTAAAATCCATGAAGGCATGAGTTACGCTAGACTTTGCTAACCCTCTATCTCCATAGTCCAGGACCAGGCCCAAAGCATATTTCTGCCATTTACTATCCAGGTCAATTCCAGCAAGTGACATGGTGGCTAAGTCTCTGGTAATGCTTTTAAAGTAGGAATATCACTAAATTAAAACACTTTATAATAATTAAATAAAATAATGCATGAAAAGCATAGGGTATCTGGCACACTGCAATAGCTAAATAAATATTCCTCAGTATCATCACAATCATAATTATGAATCACAGCTATTATTCATAAGCTGCTTTACCACTAAAATAGTGTCCCCATCTTTAACCACAAAGCATCTTTATCTGCTAGGAGACTGACTCAAGAAGGAGAAATGAGTAAATGAATCTACTATTCTTTCCACCTAATGTTTCATAAAATATTTTAAATAAAATAATAAATTGACTGTTATTTCTAGTAATATTGGGCTGGATAATTAGAATAAAACCTCCTAATAAATCTGCTAAAAACTTACAAAAATTCTTAAAAGCACTGAAGAAGTAACACCACAGAGAAAAAGCACAAAGCCAAAAAAAAAAAAAAAAAAGCCCAGCGCAACACCAGAGAGAAATACTGAGATAAGGTGCCTATGCAATGTATCAAGTGACAAACTGAATTATTGGTTGTGACAGCTACCAAAGCAAGTGAGGCCAAAGTAAAAGTCCACAGTGTCTGACCAAGTTGGGTGTCAGATAAGCAGCCCTAAAGGACTTATCCTCATGAAAAGGGTGAATAGAAAGTAAATTAGTTCTTATATAGACTTGTGGTCAGGTGTCACATTACCTCAGAGAACCTCAGGCTGTGAAGATGAACTAAGGCAATTACAGAGTAGTTGTTGGGCTAAGTGTCCAGCAAAATCAAGCATATCATAATTCTGGAAGTCTACTTTTGCACTACAGGCTTCAACTATTCATTATGGCCAATTCAGGTTTAGTAGATCAACAGAAGCACTGGCATGTCCTTGTAAGTACAGAAAACATACCAAAAATATTAGAAGAGGATGAGGTTGCTTGAAGGAACAAATCCAAAATATACCAACATTTCCCAAAGAGCAGCACACAATGTATTAAGAAGATTTAGGGAAGCATAGTAAAAAATACTTTATTTTAACAATTCTGTATTAATTTAATTGTGTACTAAAATAATATCTCATATCAAATACACAATTAACAGATAATATAGCTTAAATAAATGCTAAGTAAAAGAACTCAGTCACGTTAAGATTATTTGAACAGAACTATTAAGATCTAATAGAACATGCAACACATAGGTATTTCTGAAAAATACCTGTAACATACACTGAAGACCAATGTTTAGAAAACCATGAAAGAAGGAAAAGGAGTAATTTATTAGGCCATCTGCACAATACAACACAGAAGAATAAGACCATGAAAACAAGTAATTATGCCTGGCCAGTGTGGCTGAGTGGTTGAGCGTCGACCCATGCACCCAGAGGATGCTGGTTCAATTCCCGGTCAGGGCACATGCCTATGTTGTGGGCCCGATCCCCAGTGAGGGGCATGCAGGAGGTAGCCAATTGATGTTCTCTCTCATCGATGTTTCTCTCTCTCTTTCTCCTTCTACCTTCCTCTCTAAACTCAATAAAGAAAAAACCATTTAACAACAACCAAAAAACAAAAACAAGTAACTGTGTCTAGAGGAAATATAAATTAGAACTGGAAGGGACTTTAGAAATCAAGTAAGCCAACCTCAAACAAGAAAGTGAAATCCAGAGAGGTGAAATCCATCCAGAGAGGCTAAGATCACTTATCCATTTAGACACTAAGCTGGAACTAAAACACATCCCATCTTTGATTCCAGTGACATTTAAGTGGCTGCCTCTCACTTAGCTTTATATTTAAGAGACATCTACTGTTGGTGAAATCAAATTAGATATCCATTCTTTGGATACAACAGGCTGTGTCTTTTGTTTTTCCATTAGGATTTCTTCTATTTCTCTGCCATTTCTCAAGTATCTTTACACAAACCCAAATGACCCAGAACACAAATTCCACCCCTACTGCAACTGTTTACAGAAGCCAGGGCAAGTAGTTCACAAATGTGAAAAACTAGGTGCAAGAAATTAATTCTAATCAGGCTTAAAAATAAAAGTGTATTGCAAAAGCTAATCAAATTTAAAATTTAGAACGGCAAAGGAATTTTTCAAAAAATCCCAGATTTCATTTTATTTTTTTAATCCTCACTTGAAGATATTTTTCCATTTATCATCAGACAGAGTGGGAGGGAGGGAGGGGGGGGAGAGAGAGAGAGAGAGAGAGAGAGAGAGAGAGAGAGAGAAGTATTGATGTGAGGCAGACACATACAACTAGTTGCCTCCCGCATGACCCGACCAGGGCCGGGGACGAACTACAACTAAGGCCAGGGACAAACCACAAACAAGGTACGTACCTTGACTAGAATTGAACCCAAGATTCATTCATCCCCCGGCCAATACTCTAACAGCTGAGCCAAACTGGCCAGGGCAACAGCCCAGATTTTAAACAAACATTTAAAAAGTAAATGGTCAGAAGAATAATATACAGCTATGTAAAATCCTATGAGTGGCCAAGTATAAATGGGGCTTGGATAATAGTAAAATTTAAAGGAGTTACTTGGGACTTACCAAAGTTATTGTTCTATTTGGCCATTTTAAAATATCCATTGGCCAATGGTTTAACCTGCTTTACATATGAATGCTAAATACTTACCCACCCTGTGTCTCTCTGATTTCCTGTGACAGATAAAATGACCCTATAACAAACTTTGCTGCTGCTCCTGCTGCTTACACAACCATGGCTAACAGTTATTGATCATTTACTATATTTGCTACTTTATTGGGTGCTTCTCTTGCTTACTACATGCATTTAATCCTCACAACAATTATTTCACCATTTCTTAAATAAGAAACCTGGGGTTTAGAGAAGTTAGATAACTTGACACCATTGCACAGTAAGTTGTAGAGCCTGAACTCATCCTGGAACCTGACTCACAACTGCATCTTCAAGGCTCCACAGTTATTTCCAGGGCAGCATAGATTACCATCTCTTTGGCTTCAATGTAGAAAGCATTAACAGTCAGAGGGATGGGATTAAGAATGAACATAAACAGGAAGAGAGGCCCTGCAGCAGTTTCACACACTAAGACTGCTTGGGCACCCTATATAATACAGTGCCAGTTTATCCTAATTAAATTATTATTGCACAAGGTAAATAAACACTTCAAACAATGATAATTAAGGTTTGCTTTTCAAATGTGTTAACATGTGCAACTGAATCAACGTGAACAGTCCTTTGAGGAGGATTCTTTGAAACCAAATGTGAGCTACAACAATGTTCTGCATCATTAACAGGAAGACATGGTATGGCAGAGGCTGCATCCAGTCTAGGGAGGCTGATATTTCTGTGGTGCTTATTATGACGCCAGCAATTGATACAGGTTATCTCAGTCCTTCCCTCCTTAACTAGAGGAAAGAAGAGAACCGAAGGAAAGCAGTAGAAGAAATGTGAAAAAGAAATGCTTCAAAGTTGAACAAATAAATATTCTCCATACAGGTGAGAAAGCAGAAGAAACATTGCTCAAACCCAAAAGTGGTTCAGAAGAAACCCTCCAGAGGGAAAAGAAAGGGGTTTCTAATATTGCTGTTCATTTTATAAAGCTCTAAAAGGTGACATAGCATAGAAAATAATCAAGATAAAACCTTAATTGAAGTAGACTCTGTGGTGGCTGGGGGCTCAGAAAAGGCAAGGTCCTTCAAGGGTACCCAACAGGAATATTTCAAGCATGTGGAATGTACAGGAACACAAGTTCATTGCATTTTAACTTAGTCTTTGCTGATGAAATAATTCCACCTTCCAATCTGAGATATCTGGGCCTGGGCAACAGGTTTGAGGGCTAGCCCAATTTCACAGTGAGAAAAAAAAAAAAAAATCAGCTTTCTGAATAACCTAAACAAAGGAAGTGCTGGAACAAGAAATTGTGGTGGCAGTGTCAAGACAACATTTAGAAAGGTATATCAGAAATAGATAAAAAGTTTGCAAATTACAAAGCATTTCTGCATTATAACATCAAAACAAATATGATAAAGTCACTTCAACAGCATTTGAAATTGTAACCAGTCCATAAGCCAATCAGCTATACTATATCACCAATTCCGTTAATTTTAGGGTCATAAGTCAATATTTGCCTGTGGTAACAGAGCAAAAGTCTAAAGTGAAGGGAGCAGCCCTCAACAGCACATTGCTCTAAACAGTAGCCAATGCAAGTACAAGTAGTATGAGTATTGAAGAGGCAATCAAAGATAGTGTTAATGGGAAAATGCTGCTAGGTAATACA